TACCTAAATGATTTATCAAACACCCATTTTTTTAAAAAAAAAATTCAAACAATAAAAAACAAAGAAAGAAAAGAATATAAGATCATTCACAACATAATATACTAAAAATCTACAGTAGACTAAAAGCTTACCTCATAGCCAACTTCAGTATCAATTCACAACCAAAGAATGGAAGAGACAAAGTGCACTAAACATCAAACTATCCACCATTAAGAAAAAAAAATTTATTCCAAATATCAAAGAAAGATAAAGAAAAGTACTATTATACTGTGCCGTAAATTATATGGACTGTCCATTTAAATGTTTTCTACACCATTTTTTGGAGCTTCAAATTACATAATCATCTTACAAATATATTTTTAGGTCATCATACACGTTTCAAGTATAGAGTATTAATTATTGGAAAATTTCACTTAATTTACAATATCTAACGACTAACAACGAGCACACCCATTGAGATATAATTTATTGAAGAAACCTGCATATTTTAGGTATAAAATGGGGTTCAGTACAGTTTATTTTTACTTGTCTGAATGCATATACTTCAATTCTGCCCAAGTAACCAATCTTTCCATTATATGCTACGATCACTGTGCTTCAAGCCACTCAAAACAACTCATCCCTAACCCAGATAAGCCAAAGTACTGTGTCATCAATCCAGAAATTTGAAACAAGTCGAAAATCATTGATTCCCCATCCGAGTTCCTCCAAATTGTTGAACACCAATTGCCTCAAATCCGCATTCATCACTTGCACCAACTTCTATTCACCTGGTACCCAAATCTGTGCTCGTACTTCTGAATCTCTCTAATAAAACAAAATTTACGAAAACAATGTCTTTCTGATGCCCATATGAACAAAGTTCTATGGCAATTGATGCAAACCGCAAGCCAACATCGATAAGGCATGTAGTTGAATTTGGGGAAGATTTCTTCGTGATCTCCATATCTCAATCAATGAATTAAAGATCAAAAGGCGCTGGAAAAACAAGCACTGCTGCACGTATCAATGCGCCGGAAAAACAAGCACTGCTACACGTATGAATGTCAAGATCCACCAGTTGTTTCGTGTAATGGGTCTAAACTCTAAAGTAAATCCAGATCTATACAAATTAAACTATGTGACTACTTTTTCTGAATAGAGAATTCCCATAGTAAATGAAGAATCTGACAAAAAACATATTGACCCATTACTATATTCCACCCGGTCAATTTCTTGATGAAGGATCTCTATATTATGAGCATAGGCATAAACATTGTGTGCCATAGCTGTGACATTAAAGCGAAGAGAGAGAAACATTGAGAGGCAAAGGGAGGGAGAGTTGAGCTATGGACGTCATACAACTATGAATCTGCATATAACTGCAGCAAGGGTCATGATGATCATATAATCTAACTGCATGAGGGAGTTGTTGTGCAGTATGCTCCTGTGGCAGCATGCTATATGCGCTCACACACACTCGCATATACATGTGTGTGGACATGTGGTTTGTATAATAAAGTGTCAACTTTAAACCATCCAAGTAAGGCGCACCTCCAAAGCTCATCGAAACATGTAATTTTGGTGTCAGAAATTTCAACAATGACCTGAAAAACTACTTCAGGTCTAATTTTTAATTTGATTTTTTTTTGGGAATACATCTAATTTTGAAATTTAAAACCCAAACAATACTACTGATCGAGAAAATCTACAAATACATTAAAATCTTGAAAATGGATGGTCTAGATATTGTAGCACAAGATGTACCATTTTTTAGACTTTAAAATAATTTTTTATTTTTTTTACATTTATACATCTCGAGGTTGAGATGATCAATTAAAGGGTTTTTTAGCATCAGAAATACCTTTTCCTATGGATTTTTGAGGCGTACCTTCTTCCTACAATACAAGGTTACAACCTTATATAAACTTTTCATAT